ATGGGGTGGAAGAAAGTGCTCAGAAGCACTTACAGGGCAGAAGGGCACCTCCCCACAGATTCCCCCATATTAAATCCAACATTCATGGGGTCAGAAATGTTGACATTAAAAAAACATGAATTTTAGCAAAGAAGGGAAAAGTAAACTGTGAGCTGGCACTAAAGAAGAAGGAGATGATGCTCTTTACCTTGGAAATGAACTTCCATTGCCTTTCCTGCTGCCAAGTCATTTATTAGATCATCAGCATCTGTACCTTTAAAAAAACCTTGTTTCTTCAATCAGCCACCATCCTCCACCCTAGCAGCCACTGACCTCCAGTTGCAAAGGGCCATATCACCACTAATTTCAGATCCATGGAAGAGAAAGAAGATGAAGGGGGAGAGAGAAAGGACTGAATTTATAGAGATAGAAAAGGAAGATTTCTTCCACCTTTCTTTTTTGACAGAAATAAGTGATTTGTTTTTTCTCTTCTTAATAAGCTTATTTGCTGTGCTGATAGATGTCAAAATATAGAACCAAGAAAAAGAAAGGGTGGGATGAAATTCCAGGTGAGGGAAGAACAAGTTCCCTGTATTGCCCTTTTAAGAAGTAATCAGAGAGTCCATTGCTCTTTTAAAATCCTTCACTCACTCCCTTCTCTGAAGCTGTTTTGCTTTGCTCACTGGTAACATTGAGGCTTTCTCCTAACAGCTGCACAAAAGAACAGAAGAAAGAAAGCAAAGGACTCAGCTCTGTAGACACCTGCTGTCCTGGCCGGAGGCTCTTTTGTCTTGCCTGCATCTCAGTGCCCTCCCAAATTCTGGGGTCTGGAGTACTTCATTTGCCACAACCTGGCCTTGCCGTTTGTGTTTCCATGTTTGTAGGAGTGTCCTCCTCACAGCAATCTGGTAACAAACAAGCAAACAAAACAGATTTGGAGAAGGATCAGGATGGGCTGTCTCCAGAAGGACATGTGGTGGGTAGGGTGTCAATTTGTATGCCTTTATTTGGGCACAATCCAGGCCGGGGCAGTGCACATCCCTACTTTTAAGTATGTGATTATTCTTTTAACATTATAGGTCTTTTTCCTGCATTGGGGGGCAGAGGTAGGGAAGCAATATAAAAATAACCCATCCAGTCTATAGGATCTCAGTTCATAGCGATGTTTCCCCATAGCGATGGTTAATCCAGAACGGATTAACCTCGCTATGCGGGCCACCACTGTATAGGTCTTTTTCCTGCATTGGGGGGGCAGAGGTAGGGAAGCAATATAAAAATAACCCATCCAGTCTATAGGATCTCAGTTCTGTACCTTTCTGAGTTCTCACTGTTGTCTATGTTCATTCTGAAGCCCTCAAGACTGTTCAGCCCTTCTCCAGCCTCAGACCAAATGAGTACAAATCCTTGAGCATACTGTAAGTAGGCTGGTGACTTACAAACTAGAGACTATTCTCGCAAACCATTGCTTTGTTGGTGACTTCATTTAGTTATTCATTCATATCTCATTTATTCATTTCTATTTCAACTTTCCTCCAGAGGACTGAATGCAGCAAACGGGGCTTTCTTCAGCCCCATATCTGTTGACAGCAACCCTGAGGGATATGGACTAAGGACACCTGAGCCTTTGTCCTGTCCTATAACCACAGAGCCACCACCCTGCCTCTCTTTGCTCAGCAGACACAGAATTTATCTCAGGATAAGTCAAATCCAACAAATGTCTTTGCTTTCTTCCATTCCGTTCTGACTCAACTCCAGCTCCCCACCCCCCACTCCAGCTGTGCACCTCTTTCTATTTTTTCCTCCTAGCCGAGGGTGGCCTTTGATAGAGGCCACAAGGACAGCTTCTCGTGAGCACCCCTGCCGTCCATGTCCAGGACAGAGAGCTTCTGTCTGTCCCTTGGGGAGATGCTATGCATTCCTTCCCATTCATTTCTCATGGCTGTGTCCCAGAAGCCCTTTCATTTAAGGACAACACAGATGTCACTTGAGCCTTGAGAATGGCAGTGACCCACAAGCCATTCAAGCTATGCGGATCCCACCAGTTTCCTATTTTGGTTCTTCCTGTTTGTAACAGCGAGATGCATATGTTTGTGGCGAGGGAGCCCCTTGAAGAGAGAAGATATTGGATTGGGAGCCACATATCCACCTGTCCTCACCTTGTCTTCTGATTGGCTGTCGGCTCAGCTATGCTCCCCTCCCCTGGCCTAAGAAGAAAGCTCAAAAACTTAAGTTTTTGGAATACAAGTTTTGGATTCCTCCGGCCAACATGGTTGGTGATCTTCCAGGATGCACCAAAGAAACGTGGGAGGCATCTAAACAAAGAGCGATAGATCTGTAAGAAACATTCAGATGAGCTGAGATTTAAATTGGGCAGATAGAGAAAACAGAAGAAGGGGTGAATCGCCAAGGAAGTGTACAAACTAGTAGCCAGTGTTTATAGAGAGAAGGGTTGTTGTTCAGCTGTGCTTGGAGCAAGGGAGAGAGATGAGGAAGTGATTGTGTGGAAAGACTGGAGATACGCTAATCAGTAACAGAGAGAAGGTGGAACTGGCCAACCCTGACTGTATTTCCATCATCTTCCTGAAGGAAAACAGTGCTCAGCTGAGTACAAACAGAAGAAAGGATGCCATGAAGGGGCTGCTTCCCAAGATACAGATAAAAGTGGTATGGGAATACTTAGCTCTTGCCTAGCTTAAACAAATTCAAATATTCTGGGCTAGATGAGTTTCATACAAGGATACCAAGGGAACTTGCAGATGTAAAGAGGAGAGTCCACACTTCGCTTGCATCTCGATTGCTTCATTTCAAATCCATTGTGGTGGCGTACAGAGCCAGAATTATGAAAATTGTATCAGTATCCAATTATTTCTGGAGCTAAATGTAGTGGCTGCAAGTTTTGCAAATCTTAAGCGATTGCCAATAGGATTCTGGCCACTTAGTTCTAGTTCTGGATCCCTGAAATAATTGGTTGCCATTATAGTTAATTAGTCGCCATTAAATTGTTAGAAGTTGTTATGGTTACAGGTTTTTAAAAAGTAATTAGTTACTATTAAAGTCCACCACTCCCAAATAGTTAGGTGCTAATATAAGTTCAGGTTCTGAACAAACACACTTGACTTTCCTGTTATTCAATGGTAACTAAAATAGTTTAAATAATAGGAAAGTGAAGTGCCAGTTCGGAACTTGAAATTACATTGGCAAGTAGCTCCTTTCACGGATCCTGGACTTTAATACTGCTGCGCCATCCCTGGGTGACCCCAGAAGGAGGGAATGCTAAACCACTTCTGAGTGGTTTCTCCACCTGGGAAACCCTGAAACGGATTGCTATAAGTTGGAATCAATTTGATGGCACACAATTATTATCCATTATTAATTTAAAAAGTTACGTTTCCTGTTATTTCAAAAACAGAGCAGAATGCTACGAACATCTAGCCCTGCAGTACAGAACATGCTTAAGTAGTGAAGCTGCATACCCTTTGTAACTATAAAGGTAGTTACAGTGACAGAACAACAGTAGTGAAGCAATGTCGTTCTTCTCACCTCATTTATACCTCCCTTAAAGTCTGTCACAGTGCAGTCTCCCAGATGTTGCCGGACTGCATTTGGCAGCATCCTTTACTACTAGCACTGCTGATCAAGAATGGTGGGAGTTGTATTGCAAAATCTTAAGATCCACATTTTGCGTAGGAACAAGAATGCATGAGCGAGTGGAGGAGTGGTCATGAATTTCTTTGGCCTTTCTTACATTCTTCTGCTGAGGTTCGTTCTCTCTTGGGCAGGCCAGGCCGATTAACCCTTCAGCGGCTCTTCGGAGTCCCTGCCATTTGAGGATGGTGGGGGTGGCTTTCTTGTTTCTCCCTGGTCTCCTAGCACCAAGCTCAGTTCCAAAACATTCAGGAGGCGACCGGTGGGTCAGATTTTTATAGCAGCCGCAGCAACATGCTCTCCTCTCTGAAAGCCAGGCGGATGGTTTGTGTCGTGTGCAAAAATGGTCAGGAATGAGGGAGAGGTAGACATTTGAGAGGCATAAGGCTTGGGGGGGGGAGGGAGAGAATGAGACTCCAAAGCTGCTCAGGTACTTTGCCTGCCCAAGTGCTGGGGGTAAGACCTGTACAACTCAGCTGCTCAACTGTTTGCCCAGCTGCTACTTATTTCTGCTTGAGAGGCCCCATCAGGTGTAGAACATAGGGCAGTGGTGTAGGATGCATGTGGATCCCTCCTCAGTCCCACCCATGTCTCCTAGTCACCTGTCTTGAAAAAGGAGCTCTCTGCCCTAAAAGGGGCTCTCTGCCCTGCTCATGTCCTGAGTTCAGAACCCTGGTAGAATTTAGTTGTAACCCTGTGAAGTTTGGAGGGGAGTTTGTGCAGCCTTGAGAAGTGGCCCATCTGATGTGTTACTTATCCCTTGTCCTTGTGGCATACCGTTGAACTGCAGTACTGCAGTCAAGCCTCTGCTCATGTCCTGAGTTCAGTCCCAACAGGCTCAAGGTGGACTCAGCCTTCCATCCTCCCAAGGCTGGTAAACTGAGTGCCTGGCCTGCTGGGTGGTGGGGAAAGGTGTCCTCCAAATGTGATTCTCATCAGCTCTACCCCCTTCCCCAGCTTTTCCCTCTTTTCCAGTATATTCTCTGCTCAGTGAGCATGTTCAAGTCCTTCATTGTAGAAGGTGGGTGGGTTGTTATTGTTCAGGGTTTCAGGCAGAGGTGTCTCACTCATCCTTGCTATAGGGCCCTTTTGAAAATACATAGGCATCTGGAGAGGCCAGGAGCTCCCGTGCATGGGCAGGGCATGTTCTACTGTGGAGCTATGATTGAGATATGGCTTGAAGGACAGCAAAGAACGAAGATGGATTCTAGATGGACTAACAGAAAAGCCTGGAAAAGATGGTGGATGGAACCCAAACACTCTAGATCAGTGGAGTGTCCACCAGGATCCCCAAAAATTCAGCTCAAGGATGGATGGTGGAGATCCTTTTCCATCCAGGCCTCCATATGTTATGACCATCATCTTTTCTTTCCCAGGCAGAATATGAGCTTTCCCCAGATGAGAAACGCAAGGAAATGGGAGAAGAGATAATCCAACAGTACTTCAAGAGTGGGGTATGTATACTGTTTATATGGGGTGTTGATGTATCTGGTCAGAAGCTGGGATCATCTGGCCTGTAAAGAATTGTAGAATCTTAGAACAGTGAAGTTGGAAGGGGCCTATAAGGCCATCAAGTCCAGCCCCTTGCTTGATGCAGAATCTTTTATCTGTCTGTCCAAACCTCCCACCTCCCTATTTCCAAAACTGGTGTTTGGGCTCTGAAAACCTCCAGGGAATGCGTTTCTCCCATAAAATAAGGCAGAGATGCACATGTACACATGAACCATGTTTTGGCCACAGAACCGGTTTTGTGATCATCAGAAATAACTTTCTAGTCACTTCTGATATCTTTGGAAGGGGGTGTTGTGGCTAGGGATGAGATGTGCGAATCTTAAGGACTTCTATTCACATAATTGGACGAGAGCACCCCAGGCCAAATTATAGGCGTGGCGTCTTCAAGATGCAAAAATCTCATCCCTAGGTGTGGCCCGTGAGCATCCAGGGAGCTGAAACTGGCAGATTGCCTCTGAACCCTCCACAGTGGCTCACCCCCAAAGAGGTGGCGTGGAACTAGGGGAGAGAGAGCCTCTATAAAAGACTCAGTAGCAGCAACACCAACTATTGATATGTCAAATGTTCAAAGCTGTTTGCATACATTGGACTGGTTGGGGGGGGATGTAATATATATAACATACTCTGCGTTATGCATGTTACCCACGGCTGGTTTTGTTGTTCTGCTCTTAGTCTTTGGGCTACCTGGCAGAAATCAGCCAGTCCCTTATGAATGAGTGTGTGGAGGAACTACAAAGAAGCCGTTGCAAAGACCTCTTCAGCAGTTGTGTGCAGTAAGTGTTGGGTCCTTTGGATTTTTAATGCAAGGAGAAGTGGCGGCTGGGTTTTGTGCTCTGATGGTAAACTCCTGTGGCTTGTTATGTGGCAGTTCGTCCCACGGGCTGCCTTCAAAGGAAACAGTGTCACTTATCACAGCAGATGCTTTAGAACAGGGATGGGCAGCTTGTGACCTTTTCAATGCTACCAGATTGCAACTACCATCATTCGCCACCGTTCAGTATGCTGGCTAGGGCTGATGGGGAGATGCAGTCTCATAACATCCAGACCTGCAGTCTCACAGCGCCCTTTGCCTACCTTAGAGATGAGAGCAAGGGTGGAAATATGCATCCTGCATTCGTCGTGTGGTCCCCAGTCCACCCCCAAATATCTCTCCCCTTTTCTATAAAAAAAAAGAAAAAACAAGAGGATTGTGCCTGCAGAAACTGACTGGGTATGATAATTCTCTAAAAAAAATGTGTACACCTTTTTTAAAAAAAGGCAAAAATTTAAGTGAACTGTTTATGGCAGATCCAATTGTTTTTTCCTAATTTTTTAAAAATAAAAATCATATTTAGAAAAAGTTTTATTGCAACAGAAGCAAGTCCTTCTCCCCCCCCCTCCCCCGGTTCCCAGGCTTCTGTTCTCCAACATGGTGGCTGGATGATCTGAAGATGTTGCTTCTGATAGTTCCAGAGTACAGCAGTCTATCCAGGCCTCAGCTAGTGGGTAATCATAACCACAGTTTGTTGAAAGGAAGTGGTTTCAGGAACCAGAATTGGAATTTGACTGGTTTCAATCAACCACAGTTTCTTGGGCTCCATCAGCCGGGCAAGCTGTGGTTGATGAAAAAGCAGTCGCTTCCCTACTGCCATTCCCAGCTATAGGCAAGGAGGGAAGGCGAGAGTGCGGGAATCCAGGGGAACAACTAGGCTCACTTTCATAATGGTGAATTGTGGTTGTGTTGTCTGTATGGGGGCCAATGTATAGCTTCCTAGTAAGTGTGTTGATTCCGAGGAAAAGCATTTGGCACAGCAGTGGGCAATTCTTGGATTTAAAGATGTTGTCAGGTTGTAGCTCCCAAGATCATTAACGCTGGCTGGAGCTGATAAGTGTTGCAGCTAACAACACTCCTCAAGTAGCATATCTGTAGGGACAGCAACTGTAATGATAGTTCCAGAATTGTGGAAAGATATAGCCTAACCTTACTTCCTGTGTCTTTGATAGGCGCTTGCACGAGTATCTGAGTGGAGCCCCTTTCACCAACTACCAAGACAGCATGTATTTTGACAGATTTCTCCAGTGGAAATACCTGGAGAGGTAAGGTCATGGTCTGCAGGACTGAAATCCATTTCACCTAAGCTTATTGAAATAGGTCTCAAGGACTTACATCCCTCTTCTTATCATTTTAGACAATCAGTGACCAAAGACACCTTCCGGCAATACCGGATCCTTGGCAAGGGAGGCTTCGGAGAGGTAAGCAGCTGTAGGCCAACCAGGAGAAAACCTTGTGGCGCCTGAAATGCCATATACACAGAGAACATATATCTGACTTCATGTTGTCACACCGGTGTGGTTAACCTCTAGATGGCAGTGGATCACCATAGATAGTATTGGCAACGTCAATGGGATAACTTGTTGTTTAGTCATTAAGTCATGTCCAGCTCTTCATGACCCCATGGACCAGAGCATGCCAGGCCCTCCTGTCTTCCACTGCCTCCCGGAGTTGGGTCAAATTCATGTTGGTAGGTTTGGTCACACTGTCTAAGCATCTCATCCTCTGTCATCCCCTTCTCCTCTTGCCCTCCCACTTTCCCAACATCAAGGTCCTTTCCAAGGAGTCTTCTCATGATATGGCCAAAGTATTGGAGCCTCAGCTTCAGGATCTGTCCTTCCAGTGAGCACTCAGAGTTGATTTCCTTCAAAATGGATAGGTTTGTTCTCCTTGCAGTCCAGGGGACTCTCAAGAGTCTCCTTCAGCACCACAATTCAAAAGCATCAATTCAACAGCATATGGGATAGCTTACAACTTGGCAACTGACCAGAAACTTTCCATGCTTTCTGCCAGGAAAAAAAAAACCAATTGGATTTCCCATGACAAAACCGTGGGGCGGCCCCCAGATTGTGAACCTCATCTTTTAGGGCGGAGTTAGACAGCTTGTGATCATGAGTGTGGTCTTTTCTTGCACAACCTACTGTCTCATTTCAAAAACTCGCCATTCATTATAGGCTTCAGCCTTGCCTATAGCCACCAACAGAGTAACCCTAAGGGAGTGCAATCTTGGAGGCCAAGTTTCGTTGCTGTTGTTTAAACCTAAACGTCACCCCATAGTGCTAAAGCATTCTCTGAGCATTTACAACCTAATTATGCAAACAACACTTTGCCCCCCCCCGCCCAGCAAGCTGGGTACTCATTTTACCAACCTCAGAAGGAGAGAAGACCGGGGCCACCTTGAGCTGGCTTACCTGAACCCTTTGAGATCGAACCGAGTATGTGAGCAGAGGCTTGACTGTGGTACTTCAGTTTAACCACCAGGCAGTTTTCACTCCCAGCCCCTGGCACAGGCTACGCCAAGCCTGAAAATGGCCAAAGATGGAGGGGGGGGGGCAGGGCAACCCTGACAAAATTGTAAGTGCCCAGACAGCCTCTCACAGTTTTTGTTTCCTTGGGGTTTTGTTTTAGGTTTGGGGGTTTTTTATTGTTTGTTTTTGGTGGGGGTTTGTGTGTGTGTGTGTGTGGGGGGGTTGGGGCAGTTTGGGAAACCCATCCAAAGTCTATGAAGCAGCGTTGCCCTTTTTGTCCCCCTCTTTTTCCCTCCCCTAATGGGGAGCATAGTTGCTCTGGGGTTATCTGGGGAGTGTCAAAATACTCTAAGGAGCACACATGGCCCCCAAGTTATAATCCTCCCCCCCCCAGTTTTTTTGGCAGAAATGGGTGCTTTCTTATAGAAAACGCAGCCCCAACCAATACAGAGTTGATGGCATCTCTTCAAGCAGACCAACCCCCTGTCCACAGAATCTCCGTCTCATTTGGTGGAGTAAATCTGTTTGGAGAAAGTTTCAGTTTACCCACGTCCTCAGATGACCTCAGTCAGCCACTGCCTTATCGGTCACAAGGATCATTTCACGACTTCCACTGCATTACCTGAATTGGATGTAACTGGGGAATAAAGCCGGGCATTGTCAGTGCACCTTATTA